GTCTCAGAGTGCAGCTCAGGGTTCAAATAAATTTGCTCATTAGCCCTATTATTTAATGAAGTCACAGGATCACCATAGTGTATATTGCTTGAGTGTTTGACCTAAAGACGGACGACGAAAGTTGGTGAAATATTGTTGCTGCCAGACAAACAACGGACTACTCAATTATGTTCAGCTGGCTACTTTATTATATAAATGTTTTAATTAAATATCTTGATTAAGAAGTTGTTATTCGCTAGGTGTTTACATTTTACAACCACTAGCCTCCACTTCAACACAATGCGAGTCTGTCTGTATCAGTCTTCTACAGTGTTTGACAGAAATTGAACCAGTGACCTTATATATGATTAAGTATATGCTGTATTACTGTATAATATTTGAACCAAGGGAGGGAGAGGATCAAACAAACTACTTAAATATTTACAATCTTGAACATCCTAATCCAATAATAGCTACCAAGAGACACGCCACACCTACTGACTGACTGTACACGGCACAAGAGGAGAGGAAGAGGCCCAGTCATTTGACGCTAGTTGCTTATTGGAAATAAAGTTACTAAGAGGGTCTATCACTGAGCTCCAGCTAGTCTGGTTCTGTGCAATGGTAACAAACTCTGCCTCTAGAGTTTAATAATCAACATGTTATATCTAATTTGTTTGATGTATACAGAACTTATTTGTTAACTGTCTTAATACTATACTAATATTCCTTTTAAGTCTTTAATTCAAGGAATACAAGTAAAATATATGTTTCTTAGGAGTCATATTAGTGCACACACAACCTCTTTGTGATCTTGTAATGTAGTAACCCAAACAAACATCTACTGAATTTAGGATAGCTTTGGATTCAGTACTTTGGACAGAGAACGTGCAGCGACATGCAGTGCAGATAAGATGTGCTGTGACCTTGTTTTCTTTAAAACTCTTGTCACAAACCCATCTACATCCTACACCCTGAAGACTTTATTTTACTGAGACACAGGGTCACATTATTCACATCAATATTTAAAAATCAATATCGTCCCTGGTGTCATGACAGAATTTGCCGAACCAACAACATAACATCATAACACCATAACACAGCCTGTACACACACAATTTGATCAGCTGTGGTGGATACACACACTCACGTTATTGCTATTATTGACATCTGAGGTCAAATCAATAGCATCAATATTTAAAACTCAGTAGCATTCATGGTTAAAGGACACTAATGTCTGTTGGTGGCGTTTGTGTTTTAAGCCTCAGAGATGGTTCATAATGTCAAGAAAATAAAATATTAACAATTAAAAGTCACTGAGTGTATTAAAGGCTATTTCTATATTGCTGACAGCACACCAACGTGATTGCTTGGTCAGTTTTATGTATTTTTAGGAAGTGGTACTGGAGGGCACACCAGTAGAGAGTAGATTCTGGGTGAGAGGAGGTTTACCCAGCAAGCCACGAGTCTGGTTCCTTCAGCCTGCTGTACTGTTGTGTCCATTTCTTTGTCACTCCAGGTAGGGCTGCTCAGTTATGGCAAAAAAATCATAGTCACGATTATTCTGGTCAACACTGAGATCATGATTATTTAACACAGTTACTTATTAACTTTGGAAAAATTGATTATCTAGCCAAAATAATTATAAAAAATAAGATTTATCACCTAGTGGTATTTTCTGAGTTGTAGAAAAACACCAGATGGTTTAACTTTTCTATGTGATTGGTTTGTTTCATGGAGCTTGAGTGCGGAAAAATAATTGAACCTCATACAGGGTCTTTAGTAAGGAGAACAAAAAAGAATAAGGGTGTATACAACATTCGCAAGGCTTTTATGAGCCAAGAAAATTGTGATCATACAGTTTCCCCGCACGAAACATCTTGATGAGTCATTTTTACATCCTGTGTTCGACAGACATAATGTGTCAGCTGTTCTCTCAGAAATGAAAGTCTAACATTTGGAGTTGGCTCCGACCCTGGGAAGCCCCATTTGGATGTGTGAAGCGGCTTTTTCTCTGCTTTTTATGTTTCATCTTTGAGTCTTTTTATCTCAATATGGGGTCAGTCTGTTCTGTTCTGTGGTCGTCCAGTTTGGCCACGAAGGCAATGCCAGTGAGCGTGTGCGTGTGTGTATGTGTGTGTGCTGTGTTTTTGACTCACCCTTATGAATCATCAAGGTGATGTCCGAGGCTGTTTCTGGTTTCTGTGAGATCATTCTCAAAGTTAGAAATCGCAAAGATCCTGGAAAACTACACACATGATAAGCTAGGAAGCTGTAGGAAACTGACCATACTCTCTCTATATGCGGGTGCGTAGAGTATGTACAGAGTGAGATGGACACATCAGACTCTTATCAGACCCACACAGAACCAAATGTCTTGGCTATTTCAGTTGTCAGGAGAGCTGTTTGTTCTTGTGTGACAGTCGGGCCACAAGACTGTTATCTTGGGAATTGACTACAGCTGCAAAAAAAATAAAATCCCCATCAAAAGTAGTTCGGCTAATAAGGACCCACATGAAATCTCACTTTTCATCATGACAGAAAATGAGGGTGCAGTTGCTCAAAAAGAGCGTCAATGTAATTTTCAAAAATAGTCGATTTGGGAGAAAGAGGAGGGAGGAAAAGCGGACAGATTGATTGGACAATCTCTGAGTGTTGGAAGTGTTTGATTTCGATTAGGGGACCTGCCCACAGGCCAGTCCTCTCATCTCAGCTCAAATAGTCTTCTTTCTCATATTTTGCTGCATAGAATAGCTGTTCTGCGTGTTGGTCGATGTCATCAGGTTATGAAACCCTCTGTATTCTTCCTGTGGCTCTTCTAATGATTTTATCTGACCCTTTCTTTTGTGTAGTGTTTTCTTTTTTTTGTCGATGTTCTTTCCCCACCACCCGCCTCTTCCATGTAATAGATTAACCACATGTATACGCACCCACTTACAACACACCCCTATTCTGTGTAAAAAGTTGTAGTAGTATGTGTAATGTGGCAACACAAATGACTGTTCTTACTTTTACTTCAAATATTCAGTTTATAATTTATAATACCATTTATAATGTAATATAGTTCCTCAAAGAGTAGGGTTTTTTTCCCAATAACATCCAGTTATTATTACTTCTAGGACTGCTAAAGGTTGTAGGGTTGGTTAAATCATCATTATAGAATCGTTGTAGGGATATCATTATACGGCTCTTATGCATTGTCCTTACACAGTTTTTGTGGTACCTTATCTTAATGCCTTGTTCAGGAGACGAGATATGAAAACACACGTATCCTCCCTATTTTGGCCTTCCACTCAAACATTTTTCACATCCAGAAATGCTTTTTTGAAAACAAAATGATGATTTCTTCACGCTCAGACACAGTCAGGTGCTGAGCAGCAGTCATGTGAAGAAGCCTACTTTATATCACCTTGAACTCTCTGAACTATTTTGTATAATCCTACTGATGTCTGTTACAGTAGAAGAGGAGCGAAAGCAACCACTTGTAGTCCACACTGTGCTTTCATCAAGTAAAATAAGAATTTAACATCTTGGTTTTCTTATATGGAAGTTAGATTAGTTTATGTGTAGTTCACTATGTCGTATATTGTCCTTTACTTTAGATCCACTCCCTACATGCTCACATCATCCAATTACATATGTCTTTAGTAGTGTGTTTATGTTTACAAGTACATGCTCAGATGTGTATGTGCATGCCTTTGTGTTGCTTTTTTTCCCCTTTAGTGTGTATATCCTCTAATGTACGTTTGTCGTTGCACAGGGGGATGATTTAAATTAAGTGATCCGTTGCTCAGGGGCATGTTCACATTGACTCGGCCCCTCTGGAGCGCTGTTTGTGTTTGAGAGGGCGAGACACACGGAGAGAAAACCGATCTCAGCAGTGTGTATGTGCTGCTGCAGTTCTCATCATTTCCTAAAGATTAACGCTTTGGTCATGTGAGTGTTTGGAAAAGGTGCTGTAAAAAAAAAACCAAAAACCATGCAGATATAAATGGGTCTAGGTCAGGTACACATGAGCGTGTTTATCCTTATGAAGGCCAAATATCTGCACAAGGATAGAAAAGTAAATCTTCCAAACCAAGGACTTTTTTTTTTAGTAGGCCTCTTGTTACTCGTCATGTTTGCTTCAAGGTTAGGTTTCTTGGAATCTTAAAACGATGTATGTCTGAGTTTACAGCTGTGTATTTGTAGTGTTGGAATCAATCAATGCTGCATAAGACTTATTTTTAGTTATACCAGAACTTATATGACACTTTAGTAGTCGCCACCTTGTTCTTCACGTTAACACCATTTTGCCAAACTGGAATTTGATACAGTGTTACATACGAAACTTTGTAGAGAGACAGTGAAGTGGTTAGAGAAAGATGAAGAGTAAATGGATTGTAAGTCCTCAACGGGGAACACATCTACTTCCTGTGTGTGAATTTCTTATTCCTGTCCTTGACACCTCTCGTCGCTAAGCAACTCACCATGACAGCAAGTTGGCAGCTCTTAATTGGCTGCTGTGTGTTTAGTAGATCCAGTATTTTAAGACCTTGATGTCTCGTGTAACTTTTTGGAAGTGATGGACATAAAGCAGCAACCAACATCACCACTGTCTCTTAATGTAGAACTGCTTTGAATGAATGGACTGTACGGGACAGGGATGTATCTGGGGGATAGTTTGCTTGTAAGGGGATTGAACTTGGATTAACTACCAGATACTGCCTCCACTAACTCTGGGCAATCAGGCCCAAGTGGACTTCCTAATGCTTTAGCTGTGATATATATATAAATAAATATTATTATTGCTCTGGTTTAAAGACTTGTTCAGCATTTATTGGAATCCGTTTTCTGTCTTCTGTTTTGTTTTGATTTTGTTTTGTTTGGATTTTATTACTGTATTTCACATTTGAGGATAAACAAAATCATGGAGACTTAACTTTTCTTTTTTCCTTCCCCATCTTTCCTTCTCCTTCTTCCTCCATTTCTACCCATGTCTCCTTTCTGCTGTCTCCTCCTCTCCTTCTGTCTCTCTCCAGCTTCGTCCCATAAAGTGAAGATATTAGTCCAGTCCAAAGCCTCCTTAGTGGAGTCCAGGTGGGTCACCTATCTTATTATTATCATCTTATCACATCTGCTTTAGTTTTGTCCTCTTCAACTTATTCCTATTTGGTCTGACCAGGTTTGGTCTCATCCGGATTTGGTCAACTTCATCCATCAAGTCTTCTGTCCGTGGAGGCCAGTCCAGCGTTTCAAGCTGGACGGAGGAGAGACGAGCGGGGCCGAAGGCCCGTCCTTTGTGCTGCGACATAGAACTTCAAACCTTGTTCAACACACGACAGACAGCACACCTACAGATCCCATGAGTCCCCGGGATAAAGGAGACACGCCCACCTCAGGCCCTTTAACAAGTCACCTCAGCACCTCAGAGTGCCCCTCACACAATGGGGTGAGTATCCAACACACACAAACACACACCAATGCTGACATCTGGTTGGTTCAGAGCCATGTGGTGTGGTATGGGTCGACCGGTCACACCGTAAAACTATCCCACCAAAACACACTCCCTCATATTAATAATTAAACAGGTTTTGTTAGCAGGGAGGTATAATATTTGCTCCTGACCAGCAAAGTCTTTCTCTCTAATAACAGAAGCTTAATGTCTCCAATTAAATATTGGAGATCCTCCCCCACACACACACACACATTGAAACCCGAATCAGTGCGTGACATGAATAGGAATTGATTTTGCATTTTCAGTATATTTGCAAATCAGCCTGTTACACGCATACACACAAAGTACTGTAGAAGTGTAGACTCAACGGCAGGCTGTTGCCTTTGTGTTTGTGTATGTTCACAACATGTTTAATCAGTTATCCTTTGAAGACCTAATGTTTCCACTGCACATAAAGTAGATTAAACACTGCAGTTAATTAGAACATTAGAAGATCATTTGACCTCCACAGATTTAGATTTCAATGTTGGTTAAAAAAAGCTTTGGGGACAACATGTGAGAGTTTGCTTGCCTTTAAAAGTGCTGCATGGTTGTCTTTGGTTCTACTTTCATTTCCTTGATGGGTGATTTGCCCTTGGTAGACTGGAGCACAAAACATAGAAAGTACCAGTATTAAAAGCAGTGACACATTTTCAGCACTGAAATTCAAAGCAGAAATAATGTACTCACAACAACCCTGAAAACACGCATGTAAACTTGTGAACTTGTTTACATAAAAGTACATACGGTAAAAACAGCACATGATGTGTCATTAAAGGAGCAACACTTAAAAACAAAGTGTAAATGCATGCTATAACTGAGCACCGTAACCGGAGCAGTTGGGTGTTTAGTGCCTTGCTCAGGGGCAGAAGGGATAATAGAGCAGTATGTGATCAGTCTCTCGGGTTTTACCAGCAGGTCCTTGGAATTTTGCATGGTTTGATCATGAGCCTGTTTCCCAAGCTTTTTCAACCGCCGCACACCTCCGCTTATTATCGACACCCTCACCACCTTCAAGGCTTTTCAAACTCCACGATGAGTCATTCTGTGCTACAGTAATTAACAGTATATTATAATCGGGGTTGGCTCAGCTTCGCCTGATATTCAGTTTTAGTTCCACTCTTAAAGTCTAAAGCGATGTTGATATTGAATGTGTGCAAGATTCGCAAGCCCCTAAAAATAGGCCTGTTATGTCTATACACACATCGACGTCTTCCTGGAAGGAAAGCAAACACATTACCAAAAAATGTGCAACCTATTGAACTGATCAAACAAATATGCCAGACGCTCTCCCTCAGTGGCATCACTTGTGTTCCAGTTTAGACAGCATGTTGTGTGTGTATATGCAGGCAAAGCTGCCGGTCTGTTTCTCAGTGTTAAAGGCAATCAGCATAGAGCCTTTGAGCTGAAACACAATAGTGTTCGTGTGTGTATTGTGTCTGCTTGTGTGCGCCCTTTTATTCCTACTGTAACACAACACGGATATCTGAGAGGACGCTAGGGGCCCCAACCAGCGAGGGCAGGCTGTCTTTAACACCCCACAGGCTGCCCTTTGAATTTTTCAGCGTTTATGGTAGGTGTTTGCGTGTGTCTCGAATTGTGTTTTTATGAGTGTGTGGTAAAGTGAGTGGAGTGTGTTAGTATCACACATCCTGTTTGCCATCAGGTTGATTGTGCTTCCTCTGTGTTTCGTCTGTTTGGCAGGTTGACCCATATATATTTTTTTGGTCTATACATTTTATTTTATTTCTTTTTTCAGGAATGTTTTTTGGTCAGTAATTTTTCTAGTTTCCTGTTTTTCCAACCTTTTTGAACTTCCCCATGAGATTCTGGTATTTGTGTGTCTTCCTGATCACACCCCACAGTTGCAGACAAGAATTTTTTTAAACAATAGCTGTTTACCTGCCAACAATCTCAGCCCATTACTTTAGTGTATAATATCTGAAAGGAGAATTTGGTGGAAAGATTTGTTTTAAACTGACCATTACAGTTAAAACGTGTCATAATGATGCCTCTAAAGCTAACACTGTAGTTTTTTAGTTTATATCTGGTTGCATTGGTAATCCGTAATTGACAAACTTTCAGTGTTGTTAAAGTTCAATTAAGGGTGTTTTACAGATTTGTTTAATTCAATTTAGGAAATTAAGACTTGGAGGGGTTTTGGATGGCGTTAGCTGTTAGGTGAGTCTGTTTCAATTGAAAGTTTGTGCTGATGCAACTAACGAAAATTAGATTTTCAGGACAGTGGAGAAAAGATCCTGCAGAGAGCTAAAGAATGCAATAAAGTCTGATAATCTTATTTCGTCTAGAGAATGAATAGACTTCTGTGTTTTTTTTTCACACAAAACTCAAACAACAGATACAGCACAGACGCAGCACATACTGTACAATCAGATCAGCCAAAAATGCAACTTGGGGAATTTTATTAAACCCACAAACACGCACTTCAACCACCATCAACAAAAAACAAGGGAAATACCAATAAATAGTGAACAATGCTTGAGATTTTGGACTTTGAGTCCTCTGCACATCCTTTCTTTGTGCCAAAGGTTTGTTTTGCTTTCATCCATTGACGCCCAGCCTCAGGTGGATTTGACATCCAGTTTCACTTCCTCTTATTGTACCTGGCATCTCAATCACAACCCTTCCGTTATCACAGCTTTCTGGCGATCGTACTGCATTAAACCCTCAGACACTGTAGGGAGAAAGGGCTTAAGGGCTATAGTGGAAAGGGCAGTATGTTTGTTCAATTTTCAGTAACAAAATGGAAAACAATTGTTGTTATTGTTTTTGAGGTTTATGTTTATGCCACTCTCGTGTCTGTATGGTAAATATAAGGCTACTGCCAGCTTCCTGTTAGCTTAGCTTTGCATAAATACTGGAAAGGGGGGCACATCTAGCCTGGTTCTATCAAAAGAAAACAAAATCTACCACCTCCCTGCATTTGTTTACTCCATAAAAAACATGTAACACAAAGTGTAACAAGGACAATTTGACCTTTTATGGGGGTTATGTGCAGGACTTTGTCTTCTAGTCCAACACAGGGTTTTTCAGTATTAAAAAAAACCAGATATAACGTGTCAATAAGTGAGTTTTAGCGGTGCTGGTAGATTGATTTTGTTACCTTTGGACAGAACCAAGCTATCTGTTTCCTCCTGTTAACACTCTGTATACTAAGCTAACCAGCTGCTGGTTGTAGCCTTATATTTACCACACAGACATGAGACTGGTATCAGTCTTAGTGTATTTCCCAAAAATGTTGACTTCCTTTTAACATATTAAAGATGCAATAAAGGAAATCAGTAAAGGATAGTTGAGTTTACATGGATTTTAATTGCTAGATAATTGTCATTAAGTAGTATGTGGTAACACCCTCAGAAAGCAGATCACATGCTCCACAAGCTTTTAAAATCTCCCCACACTGCAGGTGATACCCAGTTTGACATCCATTCTCCCATCCAGTGATGCAAGAAAAAAACAACGACTTTGAAGTGGCTTTAAACAATGAAGATTTATGATTTAAGCCCTCTTACTGTGAACAGTTTGATATGCAATCTGTGTTACTTTGTTGCCATGCTAATGCCGATCCTTCATGGCCTCCTCATGGTCATGGGCAACAACAGAGAGAACAGTTTGTCTTGTGGCAGGCAGCCTGAGCACAGTGTCTGTTTTTTAGAGTTGGGCGTGTATGTATGTGTGCGTGCGTGTGTGTGTGTGTGTGTGTGTGTGTGTGTGTGTGTGTGTGTGTGTGTGTGTGTGTGTGTGTTTGGAACATACTGTCTGTTTTTTAGGTTTTTGGCATCTTTTCCACATTGTTTTGGTCCCAAGAGAGCATTGTGCATGTGTGAGTCACATGTCGAATCTCTCTCCATCTGTGCTGTGCAGGGGTTACGGTGCACAATGGTGAGCCTCTTCCCTCTTTGGCCGGTTCTAAGTTCAGACTCTGCTGTCATTGGTCTGCAGATTTGCAGCTGTATTCTTGTTGGCTGGCAGCTGTTTCCTGGATCCCACCCTCAAACAAAACTGCAAACATGTGACTTTGTTGACATTCAGTCTAAAGTTCCTTGTTTTTCTGGAAGACTGAGATTCTTCCTCCAGTGTGTCTCCTCCCTCTTCACTTCCTACTCAAACTTATCTTCTGCTAGCTGACTGCAGAGCTCAGCAGAACAAATCGGAGTGAAGGATTCTTCTTAACACATACACACAGGGTTTCAGGTGTGTGTGTGTGTGTGTGCATGCAAACAGCCATTAGTTAGGTGAAAGTCATTAGCCAGGTCTACGTACAGAATGGTTAATGAGTCTGAGGGGGGGCTTGGGTATATGTTTTTTTTTGTGTAAGTGTGTGAGACAGAGAGATGGGTCTTAAGGGGCTTTTAAGAAACACTGCCTCATTTAATCTTGAGCAGACCGGTGTCTCGAGGGATTTCCTCACCCCTCTCTTGTTCTCATGTCTGTATATTGTCCAAGACTTGCTGCTTAGCTCACGCTTAAATGAAAAGTGTTGGAAGTCCTCCGTGCGCTTGTTGTTATAGTTGACTTTGTCCTGAAAACACCCTCATCCTGTAAGATTTTCCTGGGAACTTTATCCGTCATCTGTCCCAAAGTTTTATACACCCTACCTTGTTTGTGGTTTCCGTAGGGCAGATACCCAACTTTAATGTTTGTTTTTGTTTTAACTTTTATATAAATGAATTAGGTTTTTATTTTTGTGTAATGTACATAATTTGACAGAGCCTACAAAAGGTTTAAAAAACAAAGATACAAAACATGTACTTTATAATACTGGAAAAAATTCTCCTGTTTATTGTAAATTAGTAAATTCCCGCTGTTATATCATGAGCATGTTTGACCATCATATTCCACTAAAGAAAAATACAACATTCAATCTTCCTCTACCTCCACATTGCCACCTAAAGATGATTATAGATAAACATTTTTAATGGAAAAATAAACCCAGATTCATTAAAATGACTGCTTCATCTAATCGTGCGGTCTAAACTTACAGTGTGTCTGCAACGCACTGATAAGGCTAGTTACCCTCTTTATCAGATGCACGCTGACAAAGAGGGTAACTAAACTGACCATACACGCACAATCACACACACTCACTCTCAGTGAGCAATTTAAATCAGTCAGCTTGGGTTTTGGGACATTTTGATGGGCCTTTTCCACTTCCTTACATTTGATAGACCAAACAATTGGGAAAATAATCAGTGGTAGCAGAACTAGTTGTCAGTACAATTTCTGTTTTCCATGTTTGCTCCTTATTGTGCAGAGGTCAATGTGAGATAGGAGAATGGGGTGGGCTATTTAGGTAGTTTATAAGCCTAAAGCAGACACAGACAATGTTGTCTTAGTGAATATACTCAGTAATATTTCTCCAAACTCTACCCACATGTTTACTTTGCCAACAGACTTCCTCTTTAACAGGTTGAACATGTTATCAAATCTGTTTAATTACATTTCTGGAGCCGATTCCCTCAGGCGTTTCCCAGAAAAAAATGTTTCCTAGAAAAATGGGAACAGTGCTCCGCTGAAGTATGACAACAACTGAGATAATGATTACCCAACACATGTGACTGTGGCTCTGTGTCAGACCAGCAGCCCGGGATGCGCTGACCTCCTGCCTGTTTTAGTCATACATGATGAGCTGTTGTATAGTGAGCCCTCAGAGCCGAGGATGGACGCTTCCCAGGGGGATGGGATCATATCCTCAACCAAACACGCACACACTTTTAACACAGAGCGAAATTCGACTCCGCCATAATAACTTGTTGGAGACTGGTTGACAGGTTGGTTCACGTGTGGCCGACATACTGCATTTGTCCAAGTTGTGTAGGAGGATCCTGAATGTAAGCACATTAGCCCATGTTTCCAAGAACCACTATCCTCCAACAGTCCTCGTGTCTGTAGTTGTTATTAGAGCTGATGACAGCAACTTCAGCCGAGCAGTTCACAGCCAAACACACTGTAACACCTGCTGCTAAACCTCAAGGCTTTCAGTCCGGCTGGAGTTTAGTACAGAAGAAAAGCAGTTTCTTTTCCTTCTCTCAAACTGGCAGCTGGTCATTTTCAGTATTTCTTTCCTCCAAATATCTGTCCCACAGCTTCCTCTTTACAGTGCAACACTCTGCATTTAATGTGGAACAAAGGCTGCCAAATACTAACTGACACAGCACACATATTTAACACCAATATTCACCAGATCGAGGCAGGAAATCACTCTGTGGCAGAACTGTTGTCACAGTTTTTAATCAGTAGATGTTGTTGCTGTCCTGTGATAACCATGGTTCTTTAAAACATCAGCTTTTTGTGCTCTTAGCTCTGTGACAATGCATTTTCAACTAATCCTATTTTTAAACGGGTAACTTTGTTTAAGAAGTAGAATACTTTTTTGAAGGACGCTTTTAAAAATGAAAGAAAAAGTTGTGCAAAGCCTTACGTGTCTCGAGAGGATGCTGTGCAAAATCTGATAAATTCCTTCAAGTGACGTTGAGATGCGTTCTCTTTCTCACAAGCCTGACTGAACAAAAACAAAACAGAGTGTGACTGTACAGTAGCAGTAACCGTAAAGAGGTGGTTTGTAGTGAGGAGGTGGCTGATCATAAATCACTTTAATGTACAGGTTGTAGGCTAAATGCTTCCCATTCATCTCCACCTCTCTCCTCCGATCTGTGTTGCTTTCTTCTTCGTACCCTGTTTGTTAACTGCACTGTCCCCTATTCCAGTGTATCTTGAGAGTATTCACTATGACCTGTATGCATAGTGTAAAATAACAGCGTGTGTGTTGTGTGTACGATGGGTATCTGACTGTATCACATGCTTCATTCAGCCCTGTATCATCTGTTAAGGTGTGAAGGTGTGTGTAATATGCACACAGATTCAATGATGGCAGTACACTCAGTACACTTAGAGGACACCCTGTTGTACCCCCCCTTTGCACACACACGCAGAGATATTCACACCCCTCAAGAATAACCACACGATCCACAGCGAGACCGGCAGCATCTGGATTTAGCTTACACCTACATTACATGCATGCATGGACACACATGAGAGGCTTTTATTGTGACACACACACACACATACAAAGACGCAGAGCACATGTGACTACTTGGCAGTCACCCAGATACCCTCTGCTCACATAGTATACTCAATCACTGACGCTTACACTCACAAACACACACACACACACACACACACACACACACACACACACACACACACACACACACACTCTCGATGTCAGGTGTCGTCTTTATCTTGAAACTGACGAGTTATGAGAAAGTGGTTTTACAGTTGCACGCCGTGTGTGTGTGTGTGTGTGTGTGTGTGTGTGTGTGTGTGTGTGTGTGTGTGTGTGTGTGTGTGTGTGTGTGTGTGTGTGTGTGTGTGTGTGTGTGTGTGTGTGTGTGTGTGTTCCTCTTACTGTACACAGCAGACTGAGATTCAGCCTCATGCATGATTGAGCACACACAGACAGCCAGAAGCCAAAGGCCGACTTTGGGAACCCGAAAGTGTTGACTGTTTACAGACTTTGACTGTATGAGACACGCAGATGTCCACGTAAGAGACATCACGGTCGACACACACACACACACACACACTCACGAAGCAGGGGCCGTGCAGTCAGTGTGTGTTTTGCTGGTGGGTTTTTAAAAATGGGTTAGTCATGCATTATATATACAACAGGACTTCTCTCTCTCTATCTCTTTCTTTCTGCAGTTCTGTTGTCTATCTCTGTCTTGCTTCTTTTTTTTTCTAATTGTCTCACTCTTGTCTCTCTTTTGTTCCTTACCCCTCCTCCTCCTCTGGAGAAATAAAAAAGAACAGAAAGCATAGTTTCTAATCATTTCCTTTCAGCAGTGGCGTGTGTGTGTAATGTGTGTGTGTGTGTGTGTTTGTGGAAAAGATTGTGTGTCTGTGTTGGCATTAAAGAAATACATATTTTTGTTTTTACACCTCTTTTGTTGTGTGTTATCAATTTTGTCCACCTGAATCCACTCACATCATCACCGGTTTTTAGTGTGTTCATGCGCACTCAACTGTGTGTGTGTGTGTGTGTGTGTGTGTGTGTGTGTGTGTGTGTGTGTGTGTGTGTGTGTGTGTGTGTGTGTGTGTGTGTGTGTCACTTATGATAAATGACTGTGTGTTTATCACAAAGCACTAGCCATATTAATTCCTTGCCTGGCTCCCCAGCTGTGACAGCTATTGTGTTAAATTGAATTCACACTGTCTGCCTAATCTTCCTTTTAGAAATGGAAGATTAGGACAGACTGTGTCGACATCTGTTCAATCAAAACTTAGCTCTTTGTTTTCTTAAAATATACTCTGGGTTTTAATTTTTGCTTGTTATAAGTGTAACACGGTTAGACAAGAACCCCAAATTCACCCCAATCAATGTAGTAATCAGTATTAATTCACTTGTATGCACACTCCCTCTGCTCTTCACTGGTTCATGTTTATATAGACTCTTTAAGACAATGCTTCCCAAGCCAGTAGCCTGAACCACCCTGAGATAAATCTGAGGGGTCTTGAGAGGATTAATATGATGGAAAATAATTTAAAAAAATACACACAATGATTATTTTGGTGATTAGGCTGCAAAATATCTTTTAAATGACACAATCCGAGAAGGGAAAGTCACTTGTAGGTTATTAAACCTCTTACAAGGGGTCGTAACTAGATATTAATCTGTTTGAGGAGGACACAAGTCTAAAAGGTTTTTAACCACTGCTGTAAGACATTTGTTGTAACCTCTCTGTAATTATTTTAATCAGGAAAACCGTAAAAAGATTGGTGGATATCGGATACGCCAACACCTCGTAGGCATAGTTCTTCAATAATCCTACACCTTGCAGCATACACACATAAACACACACAGTCACAGTGACGGTGTCTTTGCTGTAATTAAGAAAAAAAAGTTACATGATGATTAACCTATCCAGTTTATTGTTCACAGGCAAACATAAACTAGCTTTAATCTTGCAGCTATAAAAATATAGACTATATACAATGTGCCTTAGAGTGATGGTGTGAAGAACATAGTCGAACGTCACTGGTCAGCAGCAGGTTATGCAAGATGATCAGTGATGAACCCAGAAGGAAGTTCTCTTGTCATGTTGAATTTCATTTGCATGTGAGAGCTGGGATCAATAAAGTCACACACATTTCTGAAGTTGGGTATTGTGTGCTTGCAGCAGGTTCAAATTAAAGGTCACCCCTTCTGTCCTCCAGTCACTCCTCCCTTCATTCATCCAATAAAGCTGAAATCTTTTTTTTTTTTCAACGTGTCATAAAGCATCCAGTCCTCTGAAAACCCTTTCCGTCCTAACAATGTCCCCGTTTTCTCATCTTTTCAGAGCGTCCCAGAGTGCGAGAAGGACAGAAGAATAAAAGAAGAGGATGACAGAGGAGAAAAAGAAGAGGAGAAGGAGGAAGAGGATGAGAAGGACGAAGGTTTCATGGGAATGACTCCACTGCTGCAGGCTCACCATGCCATGGAGAGGATGGAGGAGTTTGTACACAAGGTAATGAACACACACACACACACACACACACACACACACACACACACACACACACACACACACACACACAGGTGCATGTGTATTAGGTTATGTTAAAATGATATTTCGAGCGCCGCACCTTTACCCACTAAATTTGTTAATCTCCCAGAGAGCCGTGTTTGTTTTACCGAGGTGGTTTAACAACAACACTCAATAAATCCACACAGTTAAAGAAACCAATAAAACCATAAAAAACACAAACAGCAGAGCTCGGTGTGTCCCGAGCAAACTTCACATGCTGGGATTTACCATTTTTATCTCTCATACAGAACATGCTTCATGAGTCTGGACACGAGCCAAATTGGAAAAGGTCCAAAACACATGACAGTGGCTTTACAGAAATCAGCCAGTTTCCTAGCGATAAGAAAAGTGTTCACATGTGGAGCGCGTTATTGGGTTCTTCTTCTGCCACTTACTTTCCCAGAAACTCTCTGAACATGTTTGCGGTTTGATGGATTTCACAACGAATTGAAAATTGAGAAGCCGGGTTTTGTCCTGTAAGGATTTTCCTGATCAACTATGTGCCATTATTATTTATTATTTGGAAGTGAAAATGAACAAGTTGGCCCGCATTAGGAGCTAGAGCGTCTGCTGGTAAGATGACTCTGCTGGAATGTGGAGTCGTATGAGCTGAGTCCACGAGCTTGGACTAATATTAAAACACACACACACACACACACACACACACACACACACACACACACACACACACACACACACACACACACACACACACACACACTGAGAGTCTGCTGAAATTGCAACCAGCAGGTTGTAGATTAGGGAAATTAATCACTGGAGAGAAACTGTCAGAGGATTCTTTCTCTGCACTTCTCTCCATTAGAGGTGTTCGGCCATATCAGGCTTCAGTTTATTTATTTACGTCACTTGGCCCCCGATCATTTGACACTGACACCTACACTACAAACACTCGTGATCACATACTGTACTCCACTCTTACACACACACACACACACACACACACACACACACACACACACACACACACACACACACACACACACACACACACACACACACACACACACACACTGCATTCAGTAAACAACTCAAATCAACTGCTAACCCCTAAAGGACATTTAATTCCATTAGGAATCATTTTTCATCTTGCGTTCACACCAGCCTTCAGGTTGTTTCTCTAAACTTGAATATGATGTTTCTATTTGTGTCCTTTTTTAATTAACCAACCAGGTGTGGGAAGGCCGGTGGCGCGTCATACCTCACGACGTGCTCCCCGATTGGCTGAAGGACAACGACTTCCTGCTTCACGGCCACAGGCCACCAATGCCTTCGTTCCGCGCCTGCTTCAAGAGTATCTTCAGAATCCACACAGAGACGGGAAACATCTGGACACATCTGCTAGGTAGTGCACACACACACACACACACACACACACACACACACACACACACACACACACACACACACACACACACACACACACACACACACACACACACAGGGTTCCCACGTGTCCTGGAAAACCTGGAAATTTAGAGACTAGTTTTCCAGTCATGGAAACACCTTGAAGTTGATTTAAATGACCAAAAATCCTGGAAATAATCTATCTACATTATAAATATAATTGTATTTTAGCCCCTCACTCAGTTTACCTAACCCTGGGTGTGTATTGTGTTTGAAACTCGACCGTTGGTAGGATAACCTGTGTGGTATGACACTCGAAAGCATGTTTACCAGACACAAAGCAGAACAGTTAAAGAGTTCGGTCTAGACCTGCTCTATTTGAAAAGTGTCCTGAGATAACTTCTGTTATGAATTGGCGCTATACAAATAAAATTGAATTGAATTGAATTGAATTGAACAGAAAAACACCTTTTTAATTTGGTCTCCCGTGTCAGTCGAGAGCTGTTCACACCAGACACAAAGTGAAACAAACTTGCAGCGATCTTTTTAGCCTGGAAAATGATTTATTTAAAAGCGTGGGAACCCTGTCACTGACGCTCTATAAGCCAAACAACAGTGCACTCCTAACCTTAACCCACTCAAATAAACCTAAAGTTTAACAACGTCTCTAACCTCACTCCAGAAAAATGTTGAAAGCTGGTTTATAAACTGAAACAACAGATCATATTAGAGCACATTACAGCCAGGACTGGGAATATCTAGGAAGAGAAACTGACACTTAAAAAATAATGAAAGAAGTTAGCAGGACTTTATTTTTTGTTTCTATTTCTGTAAACCGTCTCTTCACTTGTTTTATCCTTCTGTCAATTTTCATAAAACCAGACGGGTTTGATAACAAAATCTGATGTAAAAATGTGACACTGGCAACCAGCACAACCAGGCTCATTAGCTTTTATAAGCAGTTCCACGTCAAGAGCTGAGCTGCATGTTTGTGTGAGAACACAAAAAATAGTCCTCAAATCCATCAAATTCCAGGGAATTACTTTTGATTTTGGTTGAGTACCTTAGAATTGGTTTGGATTTGTGTTTGAACCAAACTTTGCTTTAAAGTATCATTATTTCCTTCTGTAACTGATTAACAGCCAGTTAAGTGTCTCGGCTGTGTGAGTCTCTGCTCCCACCTTGTGGTTAAACGGAGGTACTGCGCCTGAGAGGTTGTAGTAGCAGTGAGAACTCTTGATACCAAGACACTGTTAAACAGCGGTGATGTTACAGCCGAATACATGGTGGCATATTTAATTCGGATTAATTCGGTGAGGGGGGGGACAGCAGCGTGTGTGGGCGAGCTTGATTAACATTTAATTCTCTCTCTCTCCCCTCCTATCTCCGTTCATTTGCTCTCTCTCTCTCTCTCTCCACAGGCTGTTTGTTTTTCCTCTTTCTGGGACTGATGTACATGTTCAGGCCCAACATGTCGTTTGTGGCTCCGGTCCAGGAAAAGGTGGTGATCGGGATGTTTTTCCTTGGAGCCATCCTCTGCCTCTCCTTCTCCTGGCTCTTCCACACAGTCTACTGCCACTCTGAGGGCGTCTCCAGAGTCTTCTCCAAGTAAGACGCGATGTGCTGTAAACTCACAGAAATGTCCTTTTTTTTTAAAGCTAAAGAAAATAAATAATCCTGAAATAATCATCCACTCTGCATTTCCCAGGTTGGACTACAGCGGGATCGCCTTCCTGATCATGGGCTCGTTCGTCCCCTGGTTGTACTACTCCTTCTACTGCTCCCCTCAGCCCCGCTTCATCTACCTGATAGTGGTGTGCATACTGGGATTATCCGCCATCACCGTCTCCCAGTGTGACTTCTTCGCCACGCCGCAGTACAGAGGAGTGAGAGCAGGTAGAGTGAGATAGTGACGCACTTTAATATCTACCTTTTTTTGTTCTTTAAAGCTCCTCTAATCAATAGTTTATGTTTTTTGTACCACAGATAAACACTCAGTATGTTTCTGAAAAGTTTTCAGGTGAAAGATATAGAGAATATTGATTCATATTTGATCAGCACTGCCTAGTTTGACAGTTTTAAGAGTTTGACTTTGTCAATCACAAGACATCCACGCTGTAAAAACTTCTCTAAACCATAAAATAATTTACAGAATGAACATCATGCTGTATGGAGTGTGTAAATAGGCAACTTTTAATAATGGAATTAATAGCTCGCTTACGAAAATAACACATTATTTTCAGGTTTAAGTATTCTCAATCTGTCCCCCCCCTCTCTCTGTGTGTAGGAGTGTTTGTGGGTCTGGGTCTGAGCGGCGTGGTTCCCACCCTTCACTTTGTCATCAGCGAGGGTCTGATCAAAGCCACCACCATGGGTCAGATGGGCTGGCTGCTGCTCATGGCGACGCTCTACATCACCGGCGCCTGTCTCTACGCCGCTCGCATCCCCGAGAGGTTCTTCCCCGGCAAATGTGACATCTGGGTAAGAGGCTTTATCCTCATATATGTTCACAGGATGACTTTCTTCTTTACATTTTTCTCTCTTTATGTCATTCGCACACATTTTATTTACTCTCTCTCTCTCCGTCCGTCTCTCCCAGTTCCACTCCCACCAGCTGTTCCACATCTTGGTGGTCGCGGGGGCTTTCGTTCATTTCCACGGGGTCTCCAACCTGCAGGAGTTTCGCTACACGGCGGGAGCGGGCTGCACCGAGTACGGCACTCTCTAACGCGCACACACACACACACACACACTGACTCACTCATTGTCTCATCTGATGGGGAGGCACTAATAAAATGCACAGAATTACACACACACACACACACACACACACACACACACACACACACACACACACACACACACACACATAAAACCTAAGACATGCACACACACTCGCTCTCCCCCCTCCAGACTGAAGACCGAAGTGGCTTGTTCTGTGTGTGTGTCTGTGTGCGTAATACACGGTGTCCTCCCAAGGTCGGGGGGGGCACTATTACAACAGATTGATGAGGGTTTTTGTTGTTTCTGTCCCTCTGTCTGTCTGTCTGTCTGTCCAGCCCCACCTCCTCTGGCTCAGTTGACTATAAAACCACATCCAAGATGGCGTGTTTTATAAACATTTTTGAGAGTCTGCTCTCCCCAGGAAGTATCTCCGTTTGTTTTTTGGAGGGGGAGGGCGGGGGCGAGGCATTGAAAACCTCCCTTCAGTAATTCTACATTTTCTTCTGTGTTGAGTTCTGACAAGAGTTTCATGGTTTCATTTGAAAAGAAAGCATAATTGTGGCTTTAAAAAGTGTGTTGTTGTGTTTTTTTGCTGAATGCTGTTTCACACATTCAAATATGAAACGAGAAAAAGAATTGAGTTGAAAATGTCTTCTTCCATGATGCAGATAACAGGGGGAGAGGTTGGGAGCTGGGGGCAGGGGGGGTTAATAGTCACTGTTAAAAGAAAAAAAAGAAAAAAAAAAAAAAAAACCTTTTCCATGTAAATAAGATTTCTAAATTTTGGGTTATAGATTTGTATGAAATATATATAAAAAAAAACAAAAAAAATATGTTATAATATGATGGCAAGAAAAAAATAAATATGTTAGATTATAAATCAATTGATGATGAGGATGAAGAAGTGTTTTATCGACAGGAGAGAATAATGGCGCTTCAAACGACGTCGCGTACGAGAGGGAAGAGGCGAGGAGGAAAACAAAAAAAGGCACAACATCTGAATCTTATCAAACAAACAGCGACTTCAAGACTCTTAAACCTTGAAATATAACCGAGGAGACGGCAGAAGTGTCCGCCACTCTGTTATTGTTGTTGTTTTTTTCCCCCCACTTTTGTGTTTGCTGATTTATTGATCTCCAATCAGACCGCTGTCTGTGCTTCAAACCAAATCTAAAATCAAAACTATGTAAAAATGTTGATTTGTAGCCATTTTCAATCTCCAATATGAGTTTATTCTTTTCTACGACGTGCCCTTAAGCCACCAACCAAGGATAACTTTAAGATATTTTTATAAACAAGTCCCCAGAGTCGTGTATACATACTGGTAAACTGCAGTGTTATTACAGCACAGATGCAGTTCGTTGTAGTCTTCGTCCTCTGTGACACTTGGTAAGATTCACCTCCTCACAGAGCAAGAATACTCTTGTCTGGAAACGTGTTTGTTTTTTTTTTCTTTTTGATTGGATTGTATTTTAATTTATCCACTGCTGTCATTGGTATTATTATTATTATTATTATTATTATTATTGCAAGCTTTAATTTGTATTTTTTTTTTTTTTTTTTACTTTAATTTTGTATAATTTAGCCAGAAATGTGAGATGAGAGTTTTTAAAAAAAGCCTCATTCACCTTAAAAGTAACAACAGAATAATGAACAAGTCTCCTCTAAAGACCTGATTAAGTGAATTGCTTTAAGGGACTTCACTTGGAGAATAAAACAAGGTGACAAAATCTCACACCTGCACAATGGAAATCATAGACGCCTATCAGATTCAGGTTTGAGAGTTTCTACGGCTGCTTCCTTTACTTCTGGAGTCTTTGCATCAGACTTGACTTTTTTTTTTTGTTTTTGTTTTCTTCATTTTTCTGTTTTTATTTGATCTAGTTTATATTAATTTATTTCTCTTGGGGGAGCGCCTATTGTCTGTTGAAGCACATGTTCCTTTCTGGTGGGAGTGTTTGATTGCAATAGACCTTTGTATCTGCTGTATTGTTCTAATAAAAAAAAAAGTTTTTTTGAATCTGTCACTTCGTCTCATTAGTGGTTGTAAGTGCATTTATGTGTACATTATTCAGATTATTATCAATTCTTCATTGCTTTCCTCCTCATCAGGAAGATATTTACTTTTTTTTTTAAAGAAAAGACATTTATATTAGATAAGGAACATTTGTATTTATTGTGAAAATAGGTTCTGATATCAGCATTATTTTAGTAAAACATTTATTTCTGCCTAGAAATTAAAACTTAACTAAATTACCTATTGAAACCACTTCATCTATTCATTTATTTGCCCGTCTTTTATCCACATTAAAGTCAGTGTTCTACATCCGGAAGGTCAGAGAGGCAACATAACTGTTGTCGAAAAGACCAGAATTACCTTATAATGAATGTAAAAGATCAGATAATCCTTTATTGATCCTCTCAGAGGGGAAATTCAGGCGTTACAGCCGCACAAAGACAGAATAATTACAGATACATAGATCAACTTAAAGAGAATAAATAATTAAATGTGTATGAAATAGGAAAAGAATAATAAATAGAAACTGTAACAGCAATTAACCACAAAATGCAATGTTATAGTACAATATAGACATAATGAACAGTAGCAGCAAAAGTCAGAATATTACAGTATATTATGTAACAGTTTATGATACTATCAGTGATAACAGTCTCATATAATATGAGTATTAATACTGAGATTAATGCAATAAACTGTGTACAGTATACATGTGTTACATAAACATACATATTAAAACAACATGTAAGGTGATATCAAAGCTATATAAATATTTTTTATGGAATTTGTTATAATTGAGCAACTTCCGTTTTAAATAAACTTTATTGAGCATGTATACAAGGAGTTCCAACATCAGGGTTCACAGGACCACCGGTTGAGGCCTCTGCGGGGCACCGTCGCCCACACCGTCCTCAGTTTGACCCACACTAAAAGTCCTGCAGTGAACATGTAAGTAAATATAATCAGGAAAATGTACTTTACTCTAAATGTTAAATTAATATGAGTGATGCTTTAATGTAAAAGCTGGATCTCACTGTTGGAGCTGGTTGAGCTCATTTAGCAAACTAATTATTAATATTATGGATTAATCTGCTGATGATTTTCTCCATTAAACGATTGATTGTTTGGTTCGTAGAATTTCTGAAAAGTCATGATTTATTTTTATTTTTAGTACAGTACTTTAGTAAATGTACTTAGTTACAGGTTTTAGTCGCTATCTGTAGCTATATAAGATAAACTATAGACTATAGATAGACTTTATTGATCCCACACTGGGGCTCCAGATGTGTAACACAGCAGATGAGGGGGAAAAAAGGAAAATAAACATTAAATAACAAAAACATATACATATACATACATATATGTGATTTAAAGTTAAATTATAATATTGCACAGGTTACAGGAGGAGGTATTTAAATATAAATCCCTTTTACGTTTACATTTGTCTCGTTGATTCAAGATGTGCGGCAGAGAAATCGGATTGAATTAGTTATTTTTATGTATTTAAATTTTTCAAATGTTCTGAGAAACACAAATTAAATTGAATCTGTCCTCCGCTAATGGCAGAAACCTCAGACCTGGACCCCCTAAAACCAGAACAACTGAGACCCAAACGATCTCCATGGCTACAGTAGAAACCACCAGGAGGAGGTGATCATTTAATTCTAAAAACTCTTCCAACATCAAGGTCAACTGAGGTCTTTCAGTATTTTCTACACATGTTGCTCAACAGGGTTGGGAGGATTACTTCAAAAATGTAATCCAATACAATTATAATTAAAGAGTCAGTAACCTAATCCAAATATCACAATATTGAAGTAACTTGATTACCTCCCATTACTTTTGAATTACCTCAACACCAAATATGTAAATAAAGACCAGAGAAAAGATCAATAAGAAGTATTGATGGAAGTGGATTCTATAACAGCACAATGAAACCTGAGGGAATAAAATGGAAACTAAGACTTTAAGCATCAAAAAAAGTATATTTTTTAAAGAAATCATATTTAAAAAAGAATAATCCTGCTAATAATCCTAATTATTTTAACCTAAAGTGTAACTGTAATCTGATTACATAACTCTGTATGTTGAGCATTCGCTATAATACTTAAAGACAACAAAAAGAAACCAGTGAGTCAACATCCATTTATTTTTATTTTTCTTATAAAAAATGTAGACCTTGTGGACAGACCAGTTCACAAAAAAAACCCCCCTAAATCTAAATCTTCAGACTCTCTGAAAACAGAATTACAACATAGTCTTTAACCTAGATTCATTTTCATACATACATTTCAAACTTCTTTGTTCCTTTTTTTAAAAAACACAGTAAAACGTGCCTCGCCTTTTCCAACGAGCCTGTGAAACAAAACCTTTTTACAAATGACCGATGAAAGAGAACAAAAAAAAAAAGAGTATTTCCAAAGGGGAAACAAAAACATCTTAAAGCATAACGCTGCAAATACATTCTTATTCCAGCAGACAAAAACAAAAAACAGTAAAATAAGCACTTTGGTCTTCCTCCTCAAACACACTGAATATTGATTATGCTAGCATTTTTTTTTTTTTCTTTTAATGAATGTTAGTTTCAGTTAGCAGGAAATGCTAACTCATTAACATTTAGGATGTTTTTCTGTGAACGTACCACGTAGGATTGACTTCAGAGAGTGAATTGTTATTTTTTTTTTAAAAGTTCAGAGCTAATGTTAACTTGAACCAGTGAGGTACAAAAAAACAAAACAAGATGTAACTTCTTTTCCTCCATTAAAAAGTGTTTATAAAGTGCTCAAGTCTTCATTCACGTTCAGACCGGGTTTAACTGCTGTTTGGAAACCTGTGACAGACTAACTATCATATTTCATAAAGCCTTAAATCTTTACTTCTTAAATGGAAATTAAATGTAATCTTGGTGGCGACAAACTGACCAACCAACCAGCTCTTCTAGCTGCTATTACGATAATTATAATGGTATTTACGGTAAGAAATTAATTCATAGAAAATTCCTCTAAAATGTCCAAAAATCTCTAAATTTGGAATTCAACAGGAGTATTTCCTAAAAACAGAAGCCACTTGTAGACTCTCATGTTCACTCACTGTCACTATTTTCTACATATCGGACTCAATAGACTTTACTGACTTTATTACGGATCTTTTGTCATTTACAGCTGTAGAGTCAAATGCATCATTTTTTTGCTTCCATGAAACGTTGCATTGTGGGATTGTTACAGAGGTTAGTGTGCAGCTTTCTGCAGAAACAGACCTTCTGTTTACTAATTTAGGAAGTGGGTTTCACAAAGCAGGAAATAGGCCAGTGTCCTAATCTGCACTTAACATTGACGAGGCTCCGCCAACAGAAGTCGTTTCAACCAAATCTCATTCATTTCCTGCACGTTTTAAGAGGATGTTGTGCTTGAACATTTGTTACTACCTACAGAGCACACGTAGGTGGAAATACTGTCAATGTGGGTTAATGAAATTAAATAAAACCTTTAAAAATAATTTGCTTTGCTGCAAGAATTGTTCAGCAAAACCTGACAAGACTTCTACAAGTGTGTGTCTGTGTCTTTAACCTTTCAGCTCTGTCTAAACTTTGTGTAAATGTCACGTGTCTTCCACGTTCTGTTATTTCTATGAAGTGTATGATTGTTCCTCTGGAGCTGGTGTGAGTGGAGGAGAATGAGGGAGGAAGTGAGATGCTGAGAACTCAATAAAAACCTTTACATTCTTATTTGTCAAATATCAGGAAGTTACACCGAAAACATATCTTTAATTTTAGTGGATAATTTTTACTGCAATAAACCAGCCAGATGTGAGTTAATAAAGCATCATTGTAACTGTAGTCTGATTACAATATATTGCAATTAAACTAGAAACTATTTCTTTTGTTATCGAAAGAAAACCACCGGACTAATGTTTGTATTTTTAAAATGGGTTTAAAGTTCGTAACAGAGTTTTGTAACTTACTCAACATATAAATAATAATAACTTTAAGCAAATAAAACACATAAAATTACAATAAAAAGGTTTTTTTTCCCCTCCGTCCACATCTCAATACTTTGCCTCCAAATGTCTGAATGAAAAAAAAAAGAGTGTCGCAAACACAGCTGAGAACCTAAACCATCACGTTAAACGTAACAATAATACTAACACTTGTTGTAGACCGGTAAAATGTAGCATTGCTTTGTGTCATAAAAACACAAACGAAACAAACTACAATTCAAATAAAACCTAAGTAAAAACACTGAGTGGGTAAATAAATAGTTTGTGAATTGCACAAAGTGGGAACGTTGAAGGTCAAAGCACTCCGATATGTTCAGTCCTTCAGTCGGTCAACCGTTTCAAATCGATCAGTCGGAGAGCGTGAAGGTCGATGCCGTTTCTCCGTTCACTGTCACGATTTGATCTTCCACAGCTGCGGACAGGAAGAAAAAACGGGATCAATGCTCAGATCTTATGTTTGGTTAATTAACGTTTAAACAAACAGTGTTAACGTTTGATCTGCAGCAATAAAGAAAGTGTCCAGATAGAGAAGTACTGCAGCTTTAAGTACCAAAAGTAAAAAAAAAAAATAATATATGTATATATAAAAAATAATGTGCAATGCCAGTCGTGAAGATGAAGCTAATTTTTTAACTACTTTATGTTGAGTATGTTAATATTCAAAGATACATAGACTCTAGTAACACATCATTTAAGATCTCATGCACAATATTTCCCTATGAAATGCTGTAAAAGTATAAATACATTAAAGTAACATGAGTTTGGAAAATTTCAGGTATTTCATCTTTATGAAATATGTGGTGCTGGACGTTTAGTGACGTAGGGACTACTTGCAGAAGTCTATGAAGTCCTGTAGCTGGCGAGCTAACTGCTAACTTGTTAGACAGCTGGGACACGCTGGCGCTCATCAGCCACATTATAGCCCTTGAAGCTAGCTGGCTTCATTTAGCAGCCTCAGTCACTGACAGGACAATGCAGAGAGCTCACAGTGTTTTCAAGACACATTA